TTCATGTAATGCACTTCTTACTTCCCTTAAGTGCTTTGAAGAAAGGAGCACATCTGTCTGTGGCCTTAGAGATGAACCTAATTAAGGTTGCCACCTTGCCAGTAAGGCTTTGGATGTCTTTTGAAGTTACCGGTTCCATCATGTCGAGGATTGCTTTGATATTCTCGGGATTAGCCTCAATGTCTCGTTGGCTTATCATGAGCTTAAGAATTTACCAGAGCCTACGTCGAAGGCACATTTGTTGGGGTTCAACCTCATTCGATACCTCTTCATAATGGTGAAAGTTTCAGATAAGTTGGTGATGTGTTGGTCAGCATGTTTGCTCTTGACTAGCATATCATCAACGTAAACTTCTATGCTCTTCCCAATCTGTTCGGCGAACATTGAATTGACCAGTCTCTGATAAGTCACTCCTGCATTCTTTAGGCCGAAGGGCATGACTTTATAGCAATATAGTCCCCTGTCAGTAGTGAAGGCTGTGTGTTCTTGGTTCGGAGGGTTCATAAGGATTTGGTTGTATCCTGAGTAAGCATCCATGAAGCTCAGGAGTTCACACCCTGTTGTAGAGTCTATAAGTCTATCTATGAGAGGGAGAGGAAAGCTATCCTTCGAGCATCCTTTGTTTAGGCCGATGTAATCGACACACATTCTCCACAAGACCTTTTGGAGCAGGAGACTTTCCTTGGTCAGATTCTTCTTAACAAGGACAACATTTTCTATCCACGTTGGATAATTGACTTTGCGAACGAAGCATATACCTTTGAGTTTTTCAACTTCTGCCTTCATTGCCTCGTACCGTTCAGCGTCATAGGATCTTCGCTTCTGTCTCACTGGCTTGGTCTTGGGGTCAATACTTAAGTGATGACAGATGATATCGGTAGAGATGTCTGGCATGTCCTCGTATGACCAGGCGAAGACCTCAGTGTTCTCTTGCAAAAAAGAGATCAATGCCAACAGAATAGGTGGTGATAAGGTGGTGCCAATATTCACCATGCGATCCAATTAATCTTTTGAGATAGAGACATTTTGTAGCTCTTCAGCGGGTTGTGTTTGCTGGGTGAAAGAGTCATCTCAAGGATCGTCGGGTTGACTGGTGCCACCGTGAAGATCCAAGTTAGCTTCGTCTGGGCTGGTCTTTATGACTTGGTCATGTATAGAAAAGGTTTCCTTGGGCACAACCAGGTGCTGTTGCTTGACCGACGTGTTGTAACATGATCGTGCACTAAGTTGATCTCTTCTAATGTAACCATTGCCATAGGGGGTTGGAAATTTCATCAAGAACATATGTGTCGATACCATAGCCTTGAGATCATTGATGCATGTGCGTCCCAAAATGACATTGTATGCCATTGGGCAATTAACCACCAGGAAGTTAGTGGTAATGGTAGCTGTGTAAGGGCCTGTACCAATGGTGAAAGGTAAGTGTATGCTCCCCAAAGGTTGCACGATATCACCGGAGAAGCTTATCAGAGGGGAAATCGAGCGATCCGGCAAGTGTTCAGCTACATGAAGTGCCCTGAAAGCTTCGACAAACATGATATTGACCGAAGCCCCTGTGTCTACCAAGATTCGTCGTACTTCAAAGTTGGCTATGTGAGCTTCCACGATCAGTGGATCGTTGTGAGGGTAGATGATACCTCTTTCTTCCTCAGGGTAGAAACATATTGGATCCCAATTAGGCTTTTGATGCTTGCCTCCCTTGATGTCTTCCATGTGAAACACTTGCTGGCCAGACCTTAAAGCTCGTTCACTATTTTTCATGGTCATGTTAGAAGATTTAGATATGGGTGTGCCACCACTTATGGAATATATCACATTCACCTAGCGTTGGTTACGGTTACCCCTTGGAGGGTGAAGGAGGAATTGATCAATTTTTCCTTTACGTGCCAAAGCTTCAATATGATCACAAAGGGTGATACACTTCTCGCTATCATGGCCGTTATACTCGTGGTAGTAGCAAAACGTGCCCGTGTTCTTCATGGACTTGTAATCCGGGTGCCTCGGCTTTGGCTTCGGTATCAAGTGTGCTATGCTGGGGTAAATGGCCACGCATGTGGCGTTCAAAGGTGTGTATGCCTCATACCTCGAGGTAGGGGCTGTCCTGACACGTGTTTGACCCACTGTGTTGACTGCCTGGGGTCGGGGATTATCGTGGTGATACCCTTGGTTATCGCGGTAGCGTCCCTGACTCATTTTACTAAAATGAGATTGGTAAGGATGGAAATCTTTCCTTTTGCCCTGAGATTGATATGTCTGTTGACTTGGTAAAGTATTAAGTAGGGCAGGGGGAGGCACCGCTGCCGTTTGGAAGGTCGAGGTTTTCTCATTTGGTTGGATCTGGCTTCCACTCCCTACTTGCTGATAAGGGGTGGTTGTGGGGGGTTCCATTGATATGTCCTTGCCTCGGCGGAGGCATGGTTGTAAGCTTGTGCCATCACCTTAGAGTAAGTCTTCCAAGTGTTGGCATTGATCATGTACTTGAAGAAACAATCACGTAGGCCTGCCGTGAAGGCCTTGAGGGTGGTCTTGTCATCTGCCTCAACACAGCGAGAATGCTCATGGCTGAAGTGACCGGCATACTCTCGTAGTGACTCGTCCGGCTTCTGGCGAATAGTGTACAAGTCATCTGCAAAATGCAAGCGATCGGTCTAGAAAATGTGTTGAGAAACAAACAGTTTCCTCAATTCCTCAAATAAGTCTATCATGTCAGGTGGAAGACGACAATACCAGTTTAAAGCTCTGCCAAAGAGTGTGGAAGGGAAGAGAAGACATCGCTCTTCGTCGTTGTGCATCCGGTATGCCATGGTGGACTCAAAGAGGTTAAGGTGTTCAATTGGGTCCTCCTTTCCAGTATAGAGTTGCAAACCAAGCTTCTACTTTGTCTTTGCTTGGAGAGGGGTGTCGAGGATCCTCCTTGTAAGAGGGCTAGGCCTAGGTTGGTTCCAATCAGGTATCTCAGCTTGTCGTTCGGCCTTCAACTTGTTTACTTCCTTAAGAAGCTATAGGACAAGAGGGTCCTGAGTGGAGTCATGTACCACTGGAGCTTTCTTTCGTAAATCTCCATCTCCTCTTGGAAGTATGAAGGTTTGATCAAGAGCATGTGATTTTTCCCTGGACTCGCCGTACTGACTTTCAAGGTATGTCTGTCGAAACATCTCTAAGTCCCCTATACCTTCGTGTTTCTCTAGGACTTGTTGCCCCTTCCCCAAATTGGTAGCCGGCCTGGGACGTAGGAGGGGACCGAGTCTTTCAGAAACCCTTGGGTCATTGATCTTCGAGCTTATGTGGAGGGGATTCTCTCGACGTTGCTTTAGAAAGTCTTAGCAATCACGATAAACGGCTTTCGATCCTTCCAACCTTTCTGCAAGGAGGTGTCTTCCTCCACTTCTCCTGCTTTGGGTTGAAGCAGCTAGGTTGAGAGAAGTCTCATGTTGATCAATGTTTTGATGATTAGCTCGCTTCTCATCAGGGATACCCATGTCGAAGGAAGGTGACCCTCCTTGTTGGGAAACATCCAGATGATGGTTGATGTCCACAGGGGTAACGAGTTCATGTGTTTGAGTACGCCTAGTTTCGTGGAGCATCTCAAAAACTTCTCATACTGCTCCTGGAGGACCTCATTCTTCATTGCTATCTTGTTATTTTGAGATTCTAGCTCATTGACTTTAGCTTGAAGAGCAATCCTCTTTCCTTCCTTCTTTCGTTGCTTCGCACTAGGTGCAAGAGGGGTGTCATTCTATGTGCTGTGGCTTCCTTCGCTCCCTATGTTGGAGAGGGATGCCTGGTCAAAAGAGAGTGTACAAATGGTGGAAACCAGCTTAACAAAGCTGAAGAGAGTGAGAATAAGTGTCGTTTCCACAGACGGCACCAAATGTTGATGCACAAAATCAGTGAGGACTTTGGTACAACAGAGAGTGTTAAGTTTATGACCTTTGCTAGATTGCTCCGGTCACTAGTGTGGATAAGTATGTAAATGGATAGAGACAGGGAAGCAAACATAAGATGTACGTGGTTCACCCAGATTGGCTACGTCCACGGAGTAGAGGAGTTCTCATTAATTATGAAGGGTTTACACAAGCATAGGTTCAAGCTCTCCTTTTGTGAGTACTAGTGAATGATTTAGTACAAATGACATTAGGAAATATTGTGAGAAAATGATCTCTATTTATAGAAGAGAGTTTCTAGTTTCATTCTGACATTGACAGTGTCGTGTTGTGATTGGCTTCTGATGTTGACATGTGTCGCGCTATGATTGGCTTCTGATGTCGACACGTGTCGCGCTGTGATTGGCCTCCTGGTTGGAGGGAAACTCTTCTGGGTCATTGACGGTATAACGTTGACCAATGCTCAGTAGTTTCGGGATTGGTCAAGTATGGTACAAACATGATAGTTCCTAAGTTACTCTTTGACATGTTTAGTAATAGGATCCGTCGAGAATCTCTTTGTACGTTTGTTATTCACTCCTCAAAAGGAACAAAAAAGATGTGTACATCTTTGAGCTAAGAATACACTTTTATTACCTAATTTTCAGGTACCTTGACGGATGGATCTTTGTGGGTAAGGAAGACATTGTTATATGATGTAGTTCCATACGTTGCTGATTGCCGCACGCAAATTAAAAATTGCAGGAAGGACCACAAGCTTTTGGACTGCACAGTGGCAATTCTTTTGCTCAGAGTAACTACCTTCCAAACTATTAATCCATAGGTTCATGTCTCTAGCATTTTGTTGTATTTGACCAACGGCATCAATTTTATGTATGACTAGCAAAACTATATGCTTTCTTCTCAAACAAATGAAAATCCCATTTGTTTGTGCGACGGCCATAATCGGCTGGCAGATTTGTGTCGTGCTCAGTGACCGTGACTGCTATGCAATATTTTTTTTTTCCAATACAAGCAAGATAGCGGGCGAAGGGAGAATCGAAATTAGAACTATAAATGTAGAAGCATAGATAAATGCTCTTAAGTACTCGAGCTGGACACCCTTGGATTGCTATACAGTGTTAATAACTAATGATTGGATTAAAAGTTAGTACAGTTGGTGCCAATACAAAGAAACCGATACTTGCAAAAGTTGCACTTGATCTGTGAAAGGTTTAAATAAACATATTAAGATCATCAGGATTAAGTTCGTACAGTCGAGTAGACAAAACAAAAACTCCAGACACCAACGAGAAACAAAACAAACACAAGAACAAGTGCCAATATATCTGGACTCGGATATATCAGGAAAAACAGAGAAACCATGTAGTGTGTAAGTTGTCACCTCCGCTCACCTGCATTAAAGTTCTGATAAACAACTATGTTAGTATCTAATCTTCAAGAAATGCCTGAAATTTCTTTGCATAGAGAAGAAAACCCACCACAGTAAGAAAAACAGATGTGGTGCACTAGTTAATGTAACCGATTCATGTCTGATATATACAAGCTACGACACCTAATTAACACCTGGTAAACATACACGGATACACCCGCAGGGCCAAAGGCAAGTAGTAGCATCTATAAAGTTAAAAATTGGTTCATGACATTGCCATACAAGCAGCAAACTGGACAACACTAAAAGAACATTTACGGTTTTAGATATACCTGGAATGCGGGAAACAGATACCTGAAATTTCACACTTCAGTGTAAGCACCCACACACCAATGTACATAGCTGAGAAATCCAAAGGTTCCTTCCTACATCCGTTCTATGACTGAAATTTTCTATGCTTATTGCTGACCTATAAAATCAAAATATTAAACCCATTATGCATACCATATGCGACTACACATGCTGCTGTCCAGATCTCAGATAGACATGCATACAGCTACGATATACCAGCTGGTCCCCTTTTTCTGGAGATTCCAGTTTTTTGTAATAAGCAAGCATTCAAATTTCAGAACCACCATAAGTGTTAATGGCCAAATCCTATCACAGGATAAATGTATTCGCAATCTGGTGCACTAGAATTTGTTTTCCTATCAAATCAGATAAACCTAAGGGTACATCTGCACCATACTCAATGTAAATACCCCTCTTGCACTATCCTACACAGGCACGGACCCAGCTATGGCTGGGGTGTGCTATAGCCTAACCTATGACAGAGACAAAGAAGAAAAAAGTTATGTACGCAGCCAATCCCAGCCCACCCCAGCTCCCAGTTGGCCGTCTCACTCTTAACCATTAGCCAGTGCTCACAGCTGTCGCTGCCTTCTGTAGACGGCAGTGCAATATGATTAGGGTTTCAGACGTGCATTTTCCTAACGAAGAAGATGACCTGTAATTCTTAGAGCATCTCTAAGGCTGCAACTATAGCCAAAACACTTTTATTTTTATTTTTTAGTTTATTGGTTTTTATTGACAGTCACTTGGATCAAGAATCGTGTTTGGTTTGTGTAAATTGCTTTTGACACATTGCTTTCCAAGTTCCAAATGTAAACTTAATAATAGTCTAGATTATTGTAATTATTTTAATTTCCTTAATGACATGTCCTATATAGATGTTATGAAATGACATATCCTATGCTTCTTAGGTTATGTAAAATTTGAAAAATGTCACAAAAACAAAAGAAACTAGGCCGAAAATGTGATTGAGAAAACAATTAGCTTAGAAGTTCAGCCCACCCCATTTTTCAATCCCGGATCTGTGCCTGATCCTACGTCTGCACAATGTAGTCATCAATGCATGCAAAAATGCATAAACACTTGAATACAAGAACTTTGAATGGCTCAAATACCATGAATCAGTGCAACGTCTGATCATGTTTCTGAGGGAGGGTAGGGAATATAATAATAAAAGAGAATGCTTAACATAGTAGTTAACAGATGAGCATCGTTAAGCTTCCAATACACATGATGCAGTAGGCCAGTAAACCAAATGTTTTGAAATCCAATCCTATAGAGATTCGAATAGAAGAATTTGGTCACAATCAGTTAAAAGCACAAATAAGAAAATTGAAACTAACCTGAAAATAAAGTTCCATGAATTCAAGAAGCATCAGCTGTGACTGTTCCTATAGTTTTAAGGTCAAAGATCTCAATCCAATAACCATCAGGATCCTTAATGAATGCTATACCTTTCATCTTTCCTGCAATCAACATCACAAAACTTAGGAATCAGAAATCAGTATATACATCCCCATCATTTACTTCTTCAAATATAACGGTGAAAAATAGAAAATGCACCACGACAATGACCCCCATCATAATTTTGTTGCTTCACACATGCACATATGAGCACACACCTAGATATGCATATACATCCTTAAAAACCATAATGCTTCTCAAAGTGTTTTGGTACAAACTTAGAAGTACTGCTGCTTTCAATTCAGGAAAAGTGATGATCTTTTGGTTAACTCAAACCATCTGCCTGATACTGAAATGTATCAATGTATGCACACAAAAAGGATCTACAGTGTCCCAATGAATGCCCGCCAATTATTTCTGCTAATGTTCAGTGAAGATACATCTCACAATTCCTAATATGTTCTACAAGATGAATGTTCTTACCATCATCAGGCTTTTTCACAAATTCCACCCCCAGACTTTCAAATCTCTCACAGGCCTTGTATGTATCATCAACGGTGATGCCAATGTGACCTGAAAAACAAAATAAAACAATTAGGCCAATCACTGTGAATGCCAGAAAGAAGAATTGATTTAAAGCACATGAGTCTGCCAGAATCACTACGTACAAACTAGGAAAAGTACATGTAACATGTTTGAACGACCATTACCAACGCTTACAAATTTAGTTATTCCCCTAAATGCAGAAAACCACATCCTGTATGAATTTCAGTGGTTGCTGATCCTGTCTTGTAGTTTTATGATGGTATAGTAAACAAAAAGATTCCTGTTCACAAATCAAGCCTTCTTGATAATAAGGTCAACTGAGGATGGGAAGCCCTCATATCTTTTGTTAATAACGTGGAAACCTTTTACTCACACTACACAACGAATCCAACAAATGAGTTCACTCTTAGAATGTTCTTTATTCTTGTAAAATTGTAGCCTAACATTTTTTACGGACAGAACTAAGCATTAGGAGTGTATTTTAAATTCATGGTTCAGAGAAAGTTCAAATGCATGCATTTCTTAGAAGTTAGAACCATCGGTACTTGCTGCATAAGAAGACATGATATAATACGTGGCACTTGACATCAATTAGTTAATCAAAGTCTAAGTAAGAGAAGAAACAACTGTGATGTAATACATAAAAATAAAAACTGTATGTTTTAACACATTCATAGGACAAGTAACGTACCAAAGCCACGAGGTTCTGAATTCCCATTGTGATATCCTTTAAATTCTGAATCACTTTCAGTACCCCAATTACTGGAAATGTAAGTGATTGTCAGATATTACTGAAAACATTAGACAAAAATTGTACAGAAAATAAGACCATGTAGAAAACATTAGAGAATCTCACTGTGTCAACTCAATTGTAGCTTTCCGACCAAAGGTCCAAACTGTTCTATCAACTGAGTTAGTTGGAGCTGAAGCAGGATCCTATTCCAGAAAAAATCAAATAAAATTAAACGTCTCTGGAAATATCAGGAAATTTTTTAGAAACATACTATCACACTTTTATTTCATATAGGGGTTCCACAATTAAAATGTGAAAGGCCAAATTGCTCCTTTAAGAAAAAACATTAAATGGGACGTCGGAGATGTGTCATATGATTGAGGGAATGGAAATACAGTAATCCAATTACCACTGTAAAACCTACAAGAGCACCTAGTATAAAATTCTGTTACAGCAGATGGGACGTTATGAATTTTACCTCATAGCCCAAAAAGTACAAACTAAACTTCATTTCTGGAAAATCGAGCCTCTTAAGTAGCCTGAACAATAGTATAAATCACCATCAATTTCCTCTTAAAGAGTCAATTTTTCGAACAAAAACATCCAGTTACAGAATCTCCAGCCACAGGAAAGTGCATACATGCAGATTCACATACACACTCATACAGAAAACCATCAAAGAGGCAGACATCTCATGATAACACAAAACAAACCAACTGAAATCCTGCTATCATATCGCGATAAATCCAAAGAAACAACCAATGCACCCAAAGTATGAAGCACTAGAAAACACAACAATTCTAAAACCGCAAAATTCCTCAACTTAAACAAAGAAAATGCCAATCTTAACTCATACTTAACATAAAAAAGCATAAAAAACATAGAGAATTCAAACAAGACGCCGTAAAACGATAACAAGAACTTACGACATTCCCAAAACACGTGAATAAAAGTCGAGACTCGCTTTCGGGTCCTTAATTCGGAACATCTGCAATCAAAGTCCACATTAAAAAATCATTTCTAAAGCAAAAATACAAAATCTTTATATATTCATTCAACGGGACGTGGTTGCATACAGTTTGCTGCATGATGTAACCCCTAGTGGCTTCATCTGGGGTGGCCTGGAGGCCGGGATTGTTGGCCGGAGAATCTTTCGGTTCGGACGCCATTGAAGAAAACAATCGGAATCGGTATTTCGGACCCTGCAAGCAAGACACATAAAAGTATGAGAGCAACCGGACTATCGAATCCCGAAGGTTAATATGTGGGATGAATTTGGACCTTGGGATTGGGGGAACAGAATGGGATTGTGTAAGGAGATGACGGGGAGGGTTTTGGTGCCAAACGGATTAGGGAGAGGCGGGAAAGGGCGGTTGTGATTGCAGAAGCAGAAGACGCCATGGAAGCTTCTTGTGAGAGAGAGAGAGACAGAGAGTAATTTTACCTTGTGTGAGAAAGGAAACCAGAGGAGCGGGGGATTTTGGAGGTCTCTTGCGCCTCATGGATGATTTTTTGTCTTTAAGAGAAATGATAGGTAGAACAGATTTGTAGAGTAAACTAGTAATTGTGCCCGCGCGTTGCCGCGGGTTTTAAAAGTGTATGCATAAAATTTGCAGAAAGTTTTACAAACATGTATGTGAATTCATCGTATTTAAAGGAATGAATAAAAATATAGAAATAACAGATGGTCCATTTTTGTAAGAAACAATGTATTTGTAATCCAAAGGTTAAATTTGTGTTGTAGGGTGTAAAAAAATGTTGATTCAAATGTGAGTTTGTTAAGGTTGTTAAGTGTGTAAATTGACAGTTATCACGGATGAAAGTGTTTAGGTATTTAATATTTAACTAAGGGTAAAAATAATATTGTTCTTGTTAATAAGTTAAACAGCTGACAAATAATTTTATCAAAGCAAATAAAAGATGGTGCTAGAATGGTGTACCTTGAAATGAATGATGATTGGAGGCAATGCTTTACACAAAAACTGGTTATGCTGTAAAATAACAGTAAGCAGGAATAAATTTGTATGTGTCAAATTGTTTTCAGAACTGGTAAGTTAAGAATCAAACACTGCACGAAAGTAATAAGAAATATAAATCTAGGTTAACAATATGCTTTAGCATTTTTCTTTAGGAACCTCATATATCAGAAGTAATATTTAGCAAATAGTAATTGTATAGTTTCAGTCTTATCACTAATGTAATCATGTTGGTTTCTAATCGAAAATCTTATACTGATGCATCTTTGGAAAAATAATTTGATCTATAACTAAAGCATTGTTTAATCAAATTGAATAATAACATTGTTAATAGAAGGAGCCGGTATACAAAAATGGATCAGATACGTTTGGTTCGCTGTTTCTGTATAGTACAGAGGTATAAGTTGCTTAGTTATTTCAACTTGCATAATTCGGACAAACGATCATCATTTCCATTCTTCCATCTCAGAAGAATCAACTGTTACGAATTTGTAGGTAAAGACTTTCTTGTATTGGCTTAGTCGTAATACATGGCTAATAACTGTGCTGATCACTGAAAGGTTTAAAATGGATGACTAAAAGTATAAACAAAGATGTTCCCACCAAAGATGTACTTGTCTCACATGCTTTAGCTAAATGAAAGAAGACTTTAGAAACAGAGGAATTGTTAAATGGAGCCAATAACCAATAAAAATGATATATGGATAAATTTAACAATTTCTCTATTACCAAATGTTTTTTGGATGAATTAAGCTATGTGAACAGGTAGATCTGTAATGGGAACGTCTTGGCTAATACTTTTAGATATTGAAGTAAACCCCTCAGTGATCAGGGAAGGGATTAGTCATGTATTCTAGACTAAGTCAAAAGAAGACAGTCATTATCTACATTGGTAACAGCCAATTCCCCTGAGAAATTTTTTTAGTAAAGATTGAAGGGAATAAAGCTTGAATTATTGGTACATACAGTGAAGCCTTCAATTGTAATTTGGGATACAGGGTGGGGAATGATGAATTATAAACGTTAAGTAAACGCAGGGACTTATACCTCAATTGGATTTTCAGATTAATTTTGTTTTGGAAAAAGGTGAACCTACAAAAGTAAATTAAATTTATGATTAACAATAAACAAATACTGCATCTAGGCAACTGTTCTTTATGATTTGATATAACAAAAATGACAAATCACAGTGACCTCCTTAGAATGTGAAACCGAATAAAAATTCAAACATAACGAAAAGTTTGAAAACCATGTGATGAAAAGATTTAAAATTTCTGAAACCTTTTGAGACTTACATTGTGGTCTGCAGTTTTTTCATCCCCAATGGAGGTTACCCCACGAAGGAACAGCACAAAGCAGGTCCTATGGAAGCTCCTAGACAATTGGTAAAAGATCATTGCTTACAAATCTGAAAATAGAACAATTTGAGCAAATAAAAAAATTTATATAGACATGTTTGTTATACAAACCTGTGAAAATGGTGCAAGTTTCTATAATAGAACCAATGGGAGGTCAACAGTTCATCAAATACGAAAATCAAATACCGATATTGTAGTTTAACGGAAAACCTGAAAAACACAAATAGACGCTAGAACAGATATGGATATATTATTTGAGATGTTTTATTTTAAATAAATGAAAAACCAATTAAAACTGAATTAACATGTGGTTTTCATACGGAATAAATGATGGCCTTGGTGTGATGCTTGCAAAGAATCTCTTTTTCATCATGCATATACAAAAATAAGACAGTGATTATGTTTAGCACTAATCAGAAAATTATACATAAATAGCATTGTTCATGTTTTTCAATCATAGCTTGAGATCAATCTCATTCGATTATTCTATTGCTAACTAAACAAATTAGAACACCACAGAGAATAAGCATATGTCCTCACATACGAAACACCACTGCTATCAATAAAAGAAAAGTCGATTCACCAACAAAACTCAACAATAAACAAAGCTGTTAAAACATTAGGAATAATGGAATTAAAACATGCATTAATCGATTAGTTCCCTGCTTTATTTTAAATAGGAAATACATACCCAAACCAACAGTAGCCTTCGAACTCCTGTTAAATCTCAGATTTATCAGCGGAATAAACCAAACGCAAAATCCGCTCTTAGCCGACAAAAGCCTCGACAAACTGCCACAACTCAGCATAAAATCAAACTGTTAGGGTTTCGTTCAAATCAATGAAAATTCGAAATAACAACTCTCATATAAGGGTTGCAGAACTTACGTGAGTTAAATAAATTTTTTTTTACGATGATATGAACAAAGATCGCACCCAGACCGCACCAAAAATTGGTTGGAAAGCCGATGACAATTGGGGAGAAATGATTTACAGAGATGCAGAACTTGTCTCAAAACAGAGAACCCAAACAAACTCCCCAAAAAAAAGAACACAACGATCTTTGCGATGAATATTTTGCAAAACGAAAAACACAGGATTTCAGACGAAATGAAGGCGAGAGCAAGATGGAGAGAAGCAGAGAAAACAAAAACAAAGACCTTAAATTTAATGGCCTAGAGATAGCAAAATGAGGATAAAACATTGAGAACAAACTAACCTTAAAGTTCTTCCCCGACGATTGCAAGATGAGAACAAAACACCGAACAACAAAGGATTCAATACCGGGAGAGACTGGAAACTAAATCCCAAAGAAAATCAAACGCTGGATCTCTTTTGAGACAATTTTGTGAAAGAAAAAGAAAGGATTTGAGAGCAAACGACGGGCTGACGAAGTGGGAGAAAATCACAGACTCATGAAAGTGAAAAACGAAGAGGAAGGGTAAAGCAAAAAGATGCGGCCGAAGCAGAGAAACAAACGATGAAAGACGCGTGGCTGGGAAGGCCATAACCGACTTTTCACTGTAGAAAATTGCAAACAATACGCGGAGCAAAGAAGAAACCGAGGGCAGTATCGCCCTTTCACTGCTCGTGAACAGTGCCGGGGGAAACTGAGTTTTAGTATATATGATTTGCATACTAAATGCCACTAATACAACGATAATTTTAGGAGGAGACGCGATTTGGTTCGGTGCAATTTTGGGGTAAAATTAAGGGGTGTGATATCCACACATCTTATTTTACTTCTTACACACCTTTTTACTTTTGGACCGTCGGATCGGATGAATTGAAGAAAATTAATGGACAAAAATTATCAAGGGGTATGTGAGAAGTAAAATGGGATGTGTGGATAGCACATCCCAAAATTAAAATATAACTTTTCGCGGTCCAGTTTTGCAGTTTTGAAGCTTGAACGGAAATGGATCAAATCGTTTGGTTGCGGTTCGATTCGGTTTTAGACAGTTTTAGTTCAATTTCAGATCATTTGTAACTAAATGCTTTATGCCATTAATAGAGCCCAATTGAAGAAAATTCATGATCAACACACTAAATTCAATTTGAAATAAAGTTCAACATCAAAACCGCTTATGGTATGACTTTAGTATAACCCAATTGAAAAATTTTACCATACTAAAACTTAAGTTCAAACAAACTTCAGTGTCAAAATGCCTTATGGCATTAGTAGTACAACTCGAAAATAAATTATTCATGCAACTCAACAAAAAAGTTTTGTTGTTTTAACTTTCAAGTGACTACGCCGAGATGCAAGGAGGGGGATGACTATGTCGGGTTTGTTGTTTGGTTAAAGATGAGTCGATTGGTGGTGGTGGATGATGCTGAGATGTATGGAGTAAAACGATCGTGGCAGCGAAAATTCGAGAAAAAGGTGAGCTCAGATCGCCTCGAAACCGTGACCAAACGAGGAGAACTTAAGGTGGGTCTTGTTCAGGGGGATGAGAGGAGATAGATGGTGGTGGTGGCAAGCTAATTCGAGGCCAAAAATGGCTGAAAAATCGGCCTGATAATGCTACCAGTAATAGGGTCGGCCCGAGAGTCGAATAGGGGATTCGGGTGCTAACTGGGCCAACCTTCTTTCGTTACAACTCCAATTCAGCAACGGTTTTTGCCTACACGTGTGGGATTGAGCTCTATCCAACCAACTCAAGAGTTACCCAAAAGGTTGAGTAAAATTGGAAATGACAAAAATGCCTCTCAATACACTTTTCTCAAAAAATAGTGTTACACTTACTATCTATTTGTACCATTATTTATACCATATTTCTAATAGAGCTAGATCTCATCAACACATGTATGTTCCATCTCTATAGAGAGATGGTATAAATAATGACCTAAATAGATGGTAAAAATAACATTTTTGTTTCTTAAAATCAAAGAATCTAACGAACTAACTTTAATTTAAACCTCCGAAAAACTTTTAAAATGAAATCAAATACTAAAATATGGGATCGATATCACAATCTCATTGTTTTCTATTGTGGATTCATCTTTTATTCTAGTCATTTGGAAGTTGCCAATGGTTGGGTGGCTTAAGGTTAATATTGATAGGTCTTGAGCCAACACACATGCTGGATTTGGGAGATTTTTTTCGCTCATCGGAAAGCGGGGCACTTGCTGCTTTTGCATCTAAGGTAGATTATGAACATATAGTCAAGAAAGTGTCTACCTTGCTTATTGATGAAGGTAACGATGGTAAGGCTTGAAAGGTTTCTATATCTGTTACAAAAAATACATGGATAATCTATTTTAGTGCTATTGAACATATGATTTATGATTCTAGACAAGTATAATGACACACCCCAACCTGGAAAGGTCGAAGCATGCTGGCCGTCCCCATGAGATGACGTAACCATAAGGGTAAGTGATGTGAAAAAGTGAGTAAAATTTAACCCTAAAAGTGCCTAAAACAAAAGAGTGCGCGGGTGAGCGAGATTGCACCCATTTCACACGTGATAGTAGAGCATAAGGATAATACAGTAATTAGGGTGAAGGTTATACCACTAAGGTACCCATCTACTAAGATTTTGCCAGAGTCCTCGTTTACACGTAAGCACAACTACTTAACCTAGAGGGGCGAAAAACAAAGTTGAGTGGGTCAGCAAAACAACGTTTTGTAAAAACCTTTGTCTTTGAATATATTAACCTCTTGCCGTAAAACAAGTATAGTTTCCTTAAGACATGTTACGTAAGTATGTAAACAATAATACAACAGCATTATAACCAGAAATATGCCAAGTCATGATATATAAATGCCACAGGAATATAGTCAAGTGATAATCAAGTATAACTAAGTGCTCATCCATCTAAGCTGACACACAAGTTCGAACAGATAGTTTCTGACACGAACATGACTGGGTGTAATCAATATGCTCTAGTACTACGATCACGTGAAGACTGGTGTAAAAACACATCACATACAAGTCGGATTGCCTAATGCAATCTACCCGACAGGACTGGCACTTAACTTGTATCCAAGGTGAGCGAATAGTGCGGATGTGAACATACACTTGAAGGACTGGCCCTCGCCCTAGGGCGAGTACTAACACCGGGTGCAGCAAGATGAGCATGTACAAATATGTATGAATGTCATGACAGTAATATCACAACCATATAGCAGCATTTATCATAATTTATATCACACTAATGATACTAGGAAATATAGGCGTAAATGAAGTAAATATGCATTTATGGAAACTATAATATGTATAGGTATAAAAACAAACTACCTACTCACATATACGCAGTCGAAATGAAGTCTCCTAGCCTGGCTTAACTCTGTACGTCCCCGGAATACGTTCCCCTATACGTGAAATTACTAATTAACTTAATTTAATAACAAATAAATGGAAACTTAAATAAAACCTCCGTAGTGATTGTAAGATCTCATATCGCCCAGGAAAGTGATCCTTATATGTATATTCACATCCCTACCTAGCATGAGGCCTTTTGGGAGATCACTGGCTTCGGGTTCCGTAAGAACTCTGAAGTTAAGCGAGTAGTGCGCGAGAGCAATCCCATGATGGGTGACCCATTGGGAAGTTTTCGTGTGAGTTCCTAGAAACAAAACCGTAAGGGTGTAGTCGGGCCCAAAGTGGACAATATCGTGCGACGGTGGTGGAGTGGGCCCGGGATGTGGTGGACCTCGGGCCAGGATATGACAGATTGGTATTAGAGCCTAACCCTAGTTGTGGTGTGACGACGAGGACGTCGGGCCCCTAGGGGGTGGATTGTAAGATCCCACATTGCCCAAGGGAGTGATCCTTATATGTATATTCTCATCCCTACCTAGCATGAGGCCTTTTAGGAGCTCACTAGCTTCAGGTTCCGTAGGAACTCCGAAGTTAAGCGAGTAGCACGCGAGAGCAATCCCATGATGGGTGACCCACTGGGAAGTTCTCATGTGAGTTCCAGAAACAAAATCGTGATGATGTAGTCGAGGCCCAAAGCGGACAATATCGTGCTACGATAGTGGAACGGGCCCAGGATGTGGTGGACCCTGGGCCGGGATGTGACATACAAGCCTTAAAACCATCTATAAAAATTGTCGTGAGTGTTACCAATAGTAATGTTGCCCTCACTATTAGGGAATGCACTGTTTCCCTTTCTAATACCCTTGATCTTGATACCATACTTGTTGTTCCTTCTCTTGATTATAATTTATTATTTGTTGCTCAAATAAATGTCACCCTATATTGTCTTGTGATTTTTTTACCTTACTTTTGTGTTTTTAATGACATTTGGACTCACAAGACAATTGGTATTGTAACATCCCACATCGCCCAGAGGAGTGGATATTCTAAGCCGAGGAGTGGATCTTGTAAGCCTTATATGTATATTCCCATCTCTACCTAGCACGAGTCATTTTGGGAGCTCACTAGCATCGGGTTCCATCGGAACTCCGAAGTTAAGCGAGTTCACGTGAGAGAAATCCCATGATGGGTGATCCACTGGGAAGTTCTCGTGTGAGTTCCCAGAAACAAAATCGTGAGGGCGTGGTCGGGGCCCAAAGCAGACAATATTGTGATATGGCGGAGTCGAGCCAGGTATGTGGTGAGGGCCTGGGTCGGGATGTGACATGTATGGTGTTAGAGAATGGAAGCTCTACTACTTGGACTTGACATCGAACAATACCTGGATCTTTACTCAAGTTCTTGCTGTGAAAGGATCTCAGAGGGGAAAGGAACAGAGCTTCGGAGGTTTGGTTGTGATATCTTTGACTTGGCCATATGTCTTTCGGTTGTTTACCGAGGTTGATTCCTAGCTTGTTTATTAATGATGATGCTTCTAGCTTTAAATGTGGTGTTTATGAACTGGCTAAGGTTCATCGTATTTTGTTCTCGTCCAATTTAAATAAAAGTTCCGTTCTATTTATGATAATTTATTTTGATGTTTAAGGACCATCTAAGACTGCTACATTAGGTGTTGCTCATTAGTTTGTTACTTGTATTGATGATTGCACACGTATGACTTTGGTTTGTTTAAAGTCCAAAAGTGAAGTTACTTCTTTGTTTCAGTAGTTTCAAAAGTAGGTTTAAGGAGTTGGAGAAAGTTATTTATAAAAAGTGAATGAAGACATGGGGATATAGTCTTAAAAGTTAAGGACTTTGAAAAAAATGGGCGTTCATGGTACTATGGGATGCAAGAAAAAGGATATTTTTTGCTCTTGTCATCTATTTGAATATAATGGATTTCTTTGTCGACATGCTATGGGTATACTCCAATCTTTGGGAATATTTCATATCCCACCTCAATATATTTTAGAAAGATGCTTTAAGAGTGTGAGAAGCATGTATACCACCAGAAAGTCTATTCCAAAGGATGTTTGGTAAAAAAAAATGCATTTCAAGGAATTGTTATAATAAGCTAATAAGTTGAGTGAGGAAAGGTCATTATCTCAAAAGAGTTGAAATTGCATATATTGCATTACAAGAAGCC